GTGTGTGTGTGTGTGTTTTAGAGGGTGTTAAAGACACTTGCCCACATTAAACACTCTATAATACACCAGCCACGACATTCAAACAGCATCAAGAGAAAAACAACAACAACTGAAGGGAACTGAGGAGAGTTTGGAAGCTCAAGCGCTCCGATCACAGACTCAGGAAAGGCAGAGATTATTCTAAAAAAAGCACATGTGTAAATTATCCCATCACCCGAATGTCACACACACACACAAACACACACACAGAGTGGAGGAGCACGTCACAAACACTGCTGAGCACGACACACACATCTGCACAGAACAAGCACACTGCCTTCATCACAGCAGATATTTGGCTCATATTTTCATCGCTCAGAATAAGAATAATCTGAATGCGACTCCATCTCAAAAACACAAACAAACCAACAGAAGCAGAAGAGAAGTGCGTCCTGCTGCCTGAGGCGAGTATTGCATGAAGAGCCTCTCGACGCCTCGCGTTGTGTGTGTGTGTGTGTGTGTGTGTGTGTGAGAGAGAGAGAGTGTGTGTCTGTGAGTGTGGACCAGATGAAGGTGCGACACACAGATCCTGAGCATCACTGAGCACAGTGTTTCTATGGAAACAGGATTTGTTACGGTGACATCACAGAAATCTACACACAACGATAAAACAACGATATGAACAAATGTATTCACATCTGGATCGCAGTATACTCACACAATCAATAGCAGCCGTGTGTGGTATGCAGGTTGCCAAGGCAACACATCCTCTCACCAATCAGAGGGCGAGAGAGAGACGCCCACCGCCTGTAAGAGCCTCAAACATCGCTAATAACTACAGAAACACAGAGATCTCCTTCAGAAGCTAGATTTCCACAAGTATTTATTTTACAATTTTGATCAACAAAAGTTTTTTTTTCCAGAAAGAGGGAAAAAAGGCTCAAGTTTCCAGTAAGGTGTGTGTGTGTGTGTTTTAGAGGGTGTTAAAGACACTTGCCCACATTAAACACTCTATAATACACCAGCCACGACATTCAAACAGCATCAAGAGAAAAACAACAACAACTGAAGGGAACTGAGGAGAGTTTGGAAGCTCAAGCGCTCCGATCACAGACTCAGGAAAGGCAGAGATTATTCTAAAAAAAGCACATGTGTAAATTATCCCATCACCCGAATGTCACACACACACACAAACACACACACAGAGTGGAGGAGCACGTCACAAACACTGCTGAGCACGACACACACATCTGCACCGAACAAGCACACTGCCTTCATCACAGCAGATATTTGGCTCATATTTTCATCGCTCAGAATAAGAATAATCTGAATGCGACTCCATCTCAAAAACACAAACAAACCAACAGAAGCAGAAGAGAAGTGCGTCCTGCTGCCTGAGGCGAGTATTGCATGAAGAGCCTCTCGACGCCTCGCGTTAAACAGGACGATTGTCAGAAGAGTTTATGAGGGCAGGCGGAGAGAGAGAGCGCCACCTTCAGGCACTTAGTGATTCTGCAGTTCACCTGTGTTTGTGCATATCAGCGATTCCAAAGGGCCCTGAGATCTGCAGCGGTTAAATTCAGCCTTCAGTCCGCGCGTGTGTGTGTGTGTGTGTGTGTGAGAGAGAGAGAGAGAGAGGCTCCTCACTGACCATCAGTAGCCCTTAACCAGCAATCAGAAGATCACACACACACACACACACACGACAGGAGGAGTGAGACAAACAGAGAGAGAGTGTGTGTGTGTGTGTGTGTGTGTGTGTTCAGTTATCGACGCCCAGTTTAGAAATGCCCTGACGAACTTCATGGAGTTCATCAATCTTCCTGTCCAGAACGTCCATGAACTTCTTGAGTTCGCTCTTGATGTTCTTCTGTTTCTGCTGACTGTCGTCGATCTCGCTCTGCAGGAGCGTCATCTTCTCGCTCAGGTCTCTGTTGGCCGTTTCTGCAGCCTGTAAAACATCAGTAAACGCATGCAGACGTGAACCTCTCCAACACGAGTCAACATGCAGAACCGCGGATTCACACTGGCATGATGGACGTTTATTAACAATGTTCTAACAGCATGAGTATTCCTGGAGCAGTCGTGTGTGTGAGGTTATAGTTCAGTGCTGTAAACAGAGACAGTCGTCTAAAGTTCGGGGCACGGCTGCAATGCAAAACTGCAAGAAACGCAGCAGCACTAAATCAAATGCTTCGTTTTGAAACACTGAAGAAAATAACACACATCTCTAAATAAAGCAACACAGCGTCTCAGTGTTCATGTTCACTGCTAGACTCACTTACACAATTACAGAAACTCCAAAAAACCGATTCAACGAATCTTTAACATCTTCATCACGTGTTTTCAGACGTCTCAATCAACTGATGATTCAACTCATCAGCGATTGCCGCACATATAGAGTAACAAACTCTAGTCCTGAACTCGTCTGAAAAGTATTTAAAGAAAACCTGCCATTGATTTATACTGACAGCATTCAGAACAATCACTGTGATATTTGCATCGTGAATTAGTGATTACAAACATTAGGTTTTCATGAGCAGATACAGCTGTGTATGTGACACAAAGACTAATCTAATATTTTCATATCGTGTCACGTCTGTCTTTCAGAGCAAACGTGTGACGCAGATGCTAAATGCAGTCTGATTAACATGTGCAGACGCCAAAATACAATCACATCACCTGGATCTGTTAGTCCAACAAAAACCGGATTGATTTCAACTCAGCTAAAGCATTTACATGACATTTGAAAGACATTTTACTGCTTTAGTCTGACTGAAACTGAACTTTTAAAATTTCCTTCAGCAAATTCAAACTAGTAGCTGTTGCTCCATCAGTGTAATCCACCAAGCACCTTCCCAAGCAAACGTGAGGATTCTCAGTGAAGGAATGAACCGTGTACTCAGACCGATCTGCGACTGAGGTCCGTTAGAAGAATGTGTGTTTGTTTGTTTGTTGTTCACCTGTAGTTTGGCCGTGATGCTTTCACATTTCGTCATGAGCTGCGGGATGGTTTCTGCCTGTTTGCGCAGGTCCTCGAGCTCCTGAAAAACACCATCATACGTGTGTGAGTGAGTGTGTGTGTGTGTGTGTGAGAGAGAGAGTGTGAGTGAGTGAGTGTGTTAGAGAGAGAGTGTGTGAGTGAGTGTGTTAGAGACAGAGTGTGAGTGTGTTAGAGACAGAGTGTGAGTGTGTTAGAGAGAGAGTGTGAGTGTGTGAGAGTGTGTGAGTGAGTGTGTTAGAGAGAGAGTGTGAGTGAGTGAGAGTGTGTGAGTGTGTTAGAGAGAGAGTGTGTGTGAGTGAGTGTTACAGAGAGAGTGTGTGTGTGTGTGTGTGTGTGTGTGAGTGAGTGTGT